CAAGATGCATTATGTAAAGGTACAATTCCCAATGAGAAATGTAATTGTGTTGTATACCTAAAATGTACCAATAAAAGAATTTAACAACAAAAAAAAATGAGTTCCTAGAGATATTGTAAGATAATAAAAGAGATTTCTAAAAAGTTAATACAAATCATAAAATTATACTTCCTATGTTTGGTAACTAAAATACACCAATGTTTATAGAATTTATTTCCTATTTATAGATACTATTTCTGCTGTTTCTATAAGGATTTTTCTTGAACTAAACTCGATACAATTTTATTTATAAAATTATATTGTTTAAAAGGTTGCAATATACAAACATCAGAAAACAGAGTGTCAGAAGCACATCAAAAGTAAACTGCATGAAAATATATCAAAAAATATGCTTGTAAACTGGTAGCAAAAGGGTTGAATGAGGAAGGATGATAGGACCAAGTTATTTGAATGGGCTCCTGAAATTTCATGTTTTTTTTCAATTGTCTTTCAACATGACCCTAATGCATGACATCACATCATTTCATGCACTTGAGAAAAATATGGTCTTCCTTGTCATCTTCATGAAGGCTTGCTTGACTTGTTGATTCCCTAAGCTATAAATAAAGGGGTTCACCTTGGGGGCTGTGGAGGTGTTTAGCACAGCAACTCCCTTGCTTAAAGATATTCTTTCTCCTGCAGAAGGTTTATTATACATAAAAATTCAGCTGTCATAAGAGATGGAGATGACAGTCATGTGGGATGAGCATGTAGAGAAGGCTTTTGTCCTCTGACTAGTAGAAGGAAACTTCAAAATTGTACTGATAATATACACATGGGATAGGAATATTAATGCCAAAGTGAATATTAGAGTAAACACAGCACAGGAAAATCCCATTATCTCTAGGAAGTTTGAGTCTGAACAAGAAAGTTGCAGCAGGGGAAAATAATCACAAGTAAAATGGTTAATAACATTGGACCTACAGTAATCAAGCTGTAAGAGCAACATTAGTGCAGGAAAGATGATCAAGAATGAAACCAGCCAGTTCTTTGAGGTATCTCCATACTGATGTCTACAGTGGTTGCACCAGTCTACACTCCCACCAGCAGTGGGGCAGCGTTCCTTTCTCCCCACAAATCCATCAGCATTTGTCATGGTTTAATTTCTTGATAGCAGCCATTCTTTCTGGAGTGAGATAGAATCTGTGTTGTTTTTTCATCTGCATCTCTCAAATGACCAGTGATGTTGAACATTTTTTTCATATGTTTATTTGCTGCTTTTACTTCTTTGTCTGAAAAATATCTGTTCATTTCAAATGCCCATTTTTGAACTGGTTCTTTAAATTTGAAGGGTCTGATTTTTTTAAGTTCTTTATATATTCTAGATAGTGGTTCTTTTTCTGAGGTCTCATTTGACCCAGCTATTCTCCTGCTGGGTATCTTCCTAAAAGAATTAAAAGAATCACACCACAGTGATACATATTCACCCATGTTTATAGTGGCACAGTCTGTAATACCTAAAGCTTGGAAACAGCCCAAGTGCCCATCAACTGGAAACTGGATAAAGAAGATGTGTTTTTTTATAAAATGGAGTACTATTCAGCCATAAAGAATGAGAAACTAGAGGCATTTACAGCTAAATGGATGCATATTGAGGCCATACTTTTAAGTGAAATAAATAGGACACACATGTGTAAATACTGAATAGTTTCTCTGGTGTGAGAAACTGAAAATGTAAAGAAGGATTAAAATTATTAAAATGAATAATTGATGATTTGAAATAGGAAGAAAAGGTCTAAAGGGGTGGGGGAAGGGAAAAGGAAAGAAGGGAAAGGATAGATTATGAGAAAAGGAAAAATTTTCATTGTACATAAAAGTCTTTGTAAATAGGGAAGTGTGGAGGGAGGACAGGGAAAGGGAAAAATTAAGAACCAAGATACATCATGTACAGGTACCAGTACCCAATGATAAATGTAAACGTATTGTATACCTAAAATGTACCAATAAAAGAACTTCAGCAAAAACAAAACAAAACAAAACAAAAACCCACAAATGAAACAAACCAGGAAGCAATGACAAGCATCATGCAGAACTTTTGATTCATGATGGTCATGTAAAGCAGAGGTTTCCAGATGGCAGTATAATGATCATAGGATATGGGAGCCAGAAAGCAAAATTTTGTGACTCCCAAGAGAATGAAAAACAAAACAATTGAGTTACACAGTTATTAAAGGAAATGGTTTTATCTCCTGAAATATTGGTTCCCAGAAACTTAGGAACACTGATAGATGTGAATGAAAATTCTAATAAGGAGAAGTTCTTCAGGAAGAAATAAATGGGGGGTTGGAGGTGGGAATCCAGCAGGGTAAGGGTGAGGATGGTCAGATTCCCAGTGATGCTAAGCATATAGCTGATAAAGAGAAATATAAAGATGACAACCTGGAGCTTCAGGTCATCAGACAATCTTAAGAGGATAAACTCTTTTATTTCTGAATGGTTTCTCTTCTTTAGCTGCTGATTTTTTTCTCTTGGAAAACCTACAGGTGAAAGAGCAAGCTTGAAGAGTAATAAGTATCCAAGAGTAGGGCCTTGATTGTGCTGAAATAGTGTACCATGCCTGCATTCTAGGAAAATTTAAAGTCACCTGATAATGACAATGATCCTTTAATTTCCTTTCTTGTAGAGAAATATTTTTTAATTAAGGCATGTTAAAGAATAGTTTAGTATCCAAATTCCAATCCCATACCATTTCACTTCAATTAGAAAATATATTGTCAAAAAGAAAAATAACAAATAATGGCCGGAATACGAAGAAAAATGACTTCTTATATATTATTGATTAAAATGCAAATTTGTATAGCCATTATGAAGAATGGTATGGAGGTTCACAAGAAAACTAAAAATAGAACTACTATATGATACAGTTATCCTATTCCTTTCTGTATGTCCAAAGGAAGTCAGCACACAAGAGAAATATCTGTATGCCTACATTTATTATAGCACTGCCAAGCATATCCAAAATATTAAATCAGCTTATGTGTCAATCAACAGATGAATGGACAAAGAAAATGTGTTATATACACACAATGGAGTATTATTCACAAAAATAATTCTGTAATTTGCAACAAATAGATGGAACTGACAGACATTGCATTAAATAATAAAATCCAGACACAGAAAGAGAAGTTTCACTTGTTTTCTCTGGTATATGGATACTAAAAAATACCTGAAAGTAGAATAGTTATTAATAGGCATTAAGAAGGATTCAGGAGTGGGAGCCAGAAGGTGAAAGAAGAGTGGTTGAGTGTGATCAATACATCTATGAAAATATCACACTGAACTCTGTTATCTTGCACAATAACTGTGGATTATACAATATTTTAAAAAACACTTTGGTATTCTACACTTTGAAGTGATAGGGAGGAAGTTTGTAGGGAGATATTTCTCTGTACAAATATTTCCTCTTAAACCTTTAAGATTTCTTTTCAAATAGAATCACCTTTGTGTCATTGCTTTAATCTCTACATGTTTCCCTTTGTGTAAAAGCTTTATTACACTGAAAATTATCAAAAATGGGAAAGATATGTCATTTTAAAAAAGTGACCATTTTGTCCTTAGTCATCAGTCAATTCTTGCTGACACATCACAGCTTTTCTAACTCCCACTGCTCCCACATTAGAAGTCAGATATACTGAAGCCCTGGCCAGGAGCACCTCAAATGTCAGAAAGAAAAGGAAAAAATATGTACAAAACAATGTGAGCTGCAAAGCCTAAACCTAAATGTATTGCATGTGAATATCTTACAAAATTTCATATTAATCTCTCAATTTTATGTCTCTAATTCCTATTCAACCTTTTTTTGCTTTCCTGTATTTGTTCTAATAAAATTATTGTTATGAATATTTGAGAAATTTTTATGGTTAAAGAGATAAATAAGAATTCAAGAATACTATTTTTAGTAGTTCTATTTAAATTATTGGAATAAGTTTTAATGATTTTCTTTTTTTAAAATAAAACAAAGTTTTAATGACATTGGCATAGTTTATGTCCCTAAGAAAGAATGAAAATATCTAATTTTGAATGTATTCCACCTACTGGGTCTGAAATCACTTAATCCTCTGTCCTCACTTACTCCATGTGTGTAGTTTCTGCCACAGATAGGTCAATGGCATATGATTCATAAAACAAATTAATTTACATGAAGTATTTGGAAAAAATGATTATCATTTAATGAAAGCTATATAGACTTGTTTTATACAGAAAATATTCCTATCTACTGAACTAAATCTCTAGGATCAGGATAGTGTCTTAAGTTAAAAGTAAAGTCTTAAATAAACAGCAATAAATTACCAAAAAAAGTAAATGGGATAGGAATTGCCTGATTGTTGAATATCTATCACATTTATACAATTAATTTTAGATTTTTCTTTTACCTCGTGTATATGGCAGTGACCTGTCCCACTGTTCTGTATCTGCCTCCTCCATCTAATCACCATGTATGCATGCGCACACACACACACACACACACACACACACACAAACACATACACACACACTCTCTACTTCCTCCATCATTAACCAGGATTCGATCACCACATTTGCGTCATGTTAGATACCCACAGAGCATCAGCACTGCTACCCTGCTATTACATTAGTAATAATCTTAACCTTAGTAATAACATATATATTAGTAATAGTATACAATGTGTGACTATTACTAGTTTTGTGAGCAGTGCACTGGAATAGCAGCTCTAACCAACTCTTCCCTTATCCCCATGACACTGGGTATGCTACCCACTGTAAACATGCATAAGAACCTCAACACTCTTCCCAACTCACCACATTTAGGCTGTACTTAAATCTCTGTGAACTTCTCTATTACACTGTGCATTCACAAAAGTTAGGACTTGATCTTCAAGCTATTTCAACATATTTCAGTTCCTAGCATAGTTACATTAGATTTACAAGAAACATTGTCTAGTTAATTCAGGTTGAGTTTGTTGTTAAATCACATCTGTAATCAGCCACAGTTCTCTAATTTATGATATATAGAACACAGCTTAGATATTACTTGATTTTATATTTGTTTTATAAGATGTATTTCCCCATATCAGTTACTTTACAAAAGTTATTTACATACTTCCCTTAAAATTCCCTTTTATTGGGTAAATTTAAAACAAATGAAATGTAAAATAAACTATATTTTATTGATATACAAATTTAAAGAAAGCATCATAAAACATTAGATTTATTGGATCTTACTACACTTTGGAAGAGTGTGTTAAAAAATTGGCTTCTATTTATTTCTGGTGCATGGATGTACACATCCATGTTATTTTTGTTTTTAATAATGTTTTAAGTAAGGCAATAACTTTGAAAGCATAGTTTTTTTAATATTACTCAATTCTCACTTTTTGAGTTAAATCTCCTTATAAATCATTAGAAAACTTTTGCAAAGCATATCTGCTAAAATGTACTTTTTTGATCATGACACAGTTTTCTTTCTACCTTTTGAATTTAAAGACCTTTTTGGAATTTAGACTAATGCGTTTGAGAAAAGGATAATTATGTAATGCAATGTATGAACAATATCTGGCTCAGCTTCCTAATTACACTCACTACAATTCCAGCACTATGCAAGCACTTCAGTCCCTGGGTCATGACACATGGGTTGCTTTGATAATATCTCAACCCGAGTGCAAAAAAGACTCAAGAGGATCACCTGAGTGGTTACCAGACTCATTTTATTAGAATTTCTCTTTATATATTTTACAATTATTTGAGATAAATTTCCTTAGAGAAGAATGGTTTATATTTATTAATTTTCATAATTATGAACAAGTTTAATCCTTAGCATTCATACAGTGTGTACAAAAACAAGTAATGGAAAAGCAAAGTAATCAAATAATATTCAATAATAATTTTATAAATGGTAACACACGTGTGTAAGAGTTTTTTTGTAAATGTCTAGTAATTTCCTCATACTTTCTATTTGTTAACTAGCCATCTATAATTTAATCAAGAAAAAAGAAATAAATTAATGAGAAAATTATCAAGTCAAAATTTATTATGAATTTATTATTTGTGACATCACGAATTCAATTTAGTATCACAGAAAGCATATGGGCTTTGTCATTAGAGAGACACAGCTTTAAAATGCAAACAGGTCTTATAATGGATTTTTATCTTTGGATGAATTAATTTACTTAGCTTCATTTTCTCTGTTTTAAATGCAGTTTAAATTTCAAGAGTCTTCATGAGAATGAAATACAATTAGAAAATCAATATTCTTGCTAAATTGTATGACACATAGGCTCTAAGAATACCTATATTAATTTATTTTTTCTTTTAGTAGGAATTATTTCCCAACTTTTAAAAAAACATGCATACTTTCATGATGAATGGCATTCTATATTCTATTGTGTAGAACCTGTTACATTATATCTGTTTTAGGTCTTAAAAGACATGTAGGAAATTTTTATCCTTAATCCCAAATGAAGAACTGAGGCTCTCAGAGATCATGTAATTTCTTTTCATTCATATGGCTAGCAAATGTCAGTCCACCTAGAATTAGTTTTCCCTTAAACACAGAACTTCACAATCTGCAAAAACACAGAGAAAGAGAGATAGCACATTCCTCCTTTATTCAACAGAAAATAAATAAGTTGATGTAATGAAAGAAAAGCTAGTAGTCATTTCATGTATTTTCATATATCAAATATCAAAATATTACTTCAATATATCCTGTTTAGTAGAATCAGAAAGTAAATTGTTAAGTGTTGAATCAATGTTGAATTTTTTTCCACTGCTCTGTATATGTCTGACTTACCTCTGCTATTTATATAGTTGCACAAATAATCAGAATGGCTAGAATTGTAAAAGTACAAGTAAATGCCATCATTGACCATTCTTTCTCTTCAACTGATCTAGTTTACTTTTATTTACAAAGTTTTTGTCTTAATTTTTCCATTTTATCCAGAATGGATATATTTCTTTCATGGTAGAAAATGAGGAAAGAGAAAAGTATAAAACAGAAATAACACCTCAAAGTATTTTAAAATTGTTTGACATCATTTCTACATAGATTTTATGTAGTGTGAACATCTTCATATTTTATTCATTCTTTCTGCCAGAAGCTCAGGGGATTAATTCAGTGAATTAAAATTGCTCAAAGAAGAATACAAAACAAAATTGCCACAAAGGAATAAAAAAAATAATACATGTTGCTATGGAATTGGAAAGAAAAGCATGGAGGACAGTGTCCAATGAGACAGAAGAAAATAATAAACACTTTCGTTTTTTTACTTCAGCTTAATTTTTGGCACAGAGATGCCAGGCAAATACCGAACTATAGCTCCTAAGGTAGATCTACACCCAATATTCCATGACATTTTTCAAACTGAAAATCTATTAAGTTGTACAAGGTACATTCATTATCTACATGCTCTTAACCTACCTTCCTGTAAGAATTTTTACTACTGTTCACAATTTACAATTTTTAACTGAACTATTTTACTATTGCTCAACAGCAATAGTAATTGCAGAGTTTAAAATTTACATGCCAAATACAGTATTAGGAGTCACTACTTGTCCCGACAAAAGTAATGTGACAGAAAGCAACTGATAAAATTTTAGAGGTTGTTAGTAAAAGTTAACAAAAATAGAAAATACTTAAAATACTGTTTTTGTGATTTTTTTAATAAAATCAGTATGCCATATATATTACTCTTATTCAATTAACTTAGTGAAGTTTTTTTATTTTTATGGACATTAACTTACCCATTTATTCAAAAGAGATAACTATATTTATTTTGGAATATAAGTGTGAAAATTAAATAAGATATAGCACAGAATACACCTAACCTAAAAATGGCACAGAATAAATGCTGTCACTAGAAAAGCTATCAGATTTCCAGGTTATATGACAGTATTGATGGCTGCCATAATATTTATCTCTTTGCATATTTTTGAAAATAAATAGAGATAAACAAAGAGAATATAAAACTTGTTATAAGCTTCCAGCATAACTTTATGTCTTTTTGTTTTGTTCTTTTGTTTTTTGGTACATGGGATTGAATTCTGATCCTTGCGCTTGCAAGGCAGGTGGGGGAACCACTGAACTAAATTCCCAGCACCAGCATGCCTTAATAATATACATATGAAATTCAAAGTACTTCTAAATAGAAAGACCTAAGTTCATCAAATGAGTAGGAAGAATTAGACAGGAAGTCTTCCATGTAAACATCATGCAATAAATGTGTATTGTAGATATTTAATATATCTCATATAATATTTAAAGGAAATGGTTATATTATAATGAACACCATGAAATGTAAGTCAACTTATTAAAATAGTATTTACTTCTATAAGCTGTTATAGTAAAATATTTTTAGTATTAATAATAATCAGAAGAGTGATTTATTTTCTACTGATTTTCTATTCATAACTGAAAATGAGTGATTGCATGGAAACCACACATACTTCTAAAAAATAACACAACGTAGTCATTTTCAGATCACAGAGTAAGATGAAGGTCATGAGCTCAGCAGTGCAGATAATTGTCACATGAATATTAGAGGAAAGTAGGAAATTTAATTGTTTTATTCCATTATTGATCCTCAGGATTACATTCATTCTTGTTAATAATAATTTTAATTTGTTTGTATAAGACTGATTTATGAAGAAAGTTTTTGAAAGCTTGTTTTACTTGCTTGTTCCTCAAAGTGTAAATACAAGGGTTGAACAGTGTTGAAAACAGCTACTCCTTTGGTCAATGATGATCTTTCATTTGCTGAAGGCTTGACATAAATAAATATGTGACACCCATAAGAGATGGAAATGTCAATCATGTGAGAGAAACAGGTAGAGAGCCTTTTTCTTCTGACTGGCAGAAGGGATTCTCAGAATGGTTCTAATGATGCATATATTGGAAAGAATCACCAATGTCAATGTGAAGAGCAGAGTAACAAAGGCAAGGTAAAAACCAATCATCTCCAAAAGCCATGTATCTGAGCATGAAAGTTGTAAGATGGGGAAGTAGTCACAAGAAAAGTGGTCAATGATGTTGCAAGCACAGAATAAGCATGAGTGGTGGGAAAATGGTCAGAAATCCTGCCAGGTAAGAAATGAAGACCAGAAGAGTACAGATTTTCTTATTCATGATGATGGTGTAATGCAGAGGCTTGCAGATGGTCACATAGAGATCATAGGATATAGCAGTGAGAAGAAAAAATCCAGACACATTCAAGGAGATGAAGAAAGATAACTTAGCTAAACAGTTGTTATAGGAAATGGTCTTGACTTTAGTAATTATTGAAAACAAAACCTTGGGATGGAAACACTGGTGAATGTAATTTCCAAGAAGGAGAAGTTCCGGAGGAAGAAATACATAGGAATCTTTAACAGTGAATCTAACAAGGTGAGAATGATGATGATTAGGTTTTCAGCAACACTTAATAAGTAAGTTATAAATAAAAAGATAAAAA